TATTATTTGATTGAACTAACTTTTATGGCATAAAAAGTTCTTTTGACTAACTAGAGAGAATTATAATATAGGATATATGTTTGTCCTTTTGTTTGTAAAGCACCATGCTTCAATTAATTTATTAAATACTAATGAATATTTATAAAGATTTATTAAAAATTTACAGTATTTATCTTGCAGCAAATTTTATATATCATATGTCATATATAATATAAAATATTATTTTCTTACAGAAAGTTGCAGATAAGTGTTTGTATTTATTGATTATATATCATACGATACTAATAACAAGACAATTATTTTTAGAAATGTAATGTTTCTCATTATAAAAATATCTTCCCTTTGGTCCAGAGCTATTTTGTGTTTAGGAGATTATTAGTATTCATGAGCTACCTCATTGCAAAAGAGTGCCACAGGGGCTATGAGTTAGAACGTGGTGCTGCATTCAGCAGGAGAGAGGGGAAGCACAGGAGCTTGTGCTGGTGGAGGCCAGGGATTCAGCTGGAAGATTCAAGTTGCTGCAACTGCCTGAAAAGAACTCACAACATCATCTACACAGCAAGGAATACAGGGCATCTTTTATTTACTCATGGCTTGCATTATTGGGAAAATGGGTGGAGTAAAAATGAGGGCTCACGAAAATAAACATCTAAAATATTCTTTTATACATCATCAGTAATTCAAAGAGAATGAAGGAAATGCTGTAATTTTAGCAATGGCTAATCATTTCAGATTTTTTTTTGTGAAAGGATATACTTCCAGAGATTACATAGGTGAGTTTATGGACAAGTATTTTTTTAGATTTCTTACCACTGTCTTACTAACTTTCTTTTTCAGGTGGAATGTGCAAGTATTTTATGTAATTAGTGAGAGATACTGAGTATATAGCTATATACCAGTTTTCTCAAATCAAATTATTTCTATGCTTTTATGGATCATGAATACATATATAGTTGTTATCTGTGCATAGAAAGACATATAATGATTTAATACAGGTACTTGGCTTGATTTCAGTTCTATACAGTTGAGTGTGCTGTACTTTAATATAAGCAAATATAATCCACAATGCTCTTGTAGCATGCTCATCTTGAAAAATTGGCTCAGGGTTAATTTTATGCTATCTTGTAACTCATACTACTCTTTGATTAAATTTTTTGTCTTAAAAGCTCATTCTTCATTACCACAGATACAACTTTCAGGTAGGGGCAGCTTGCAAAACTGAATATGTTGCTTTCTTTCAGAACTCTGATGGTTGACACGTGAATACAGTTTTGATGTCTTTTGTAGTTCAGGTACAATTTTAGATGGGATTTGTCTCAACTGCATAAGTTTTGGCAGGAAATATAAGCATTTTTCTCTTGGTGGAGGGAGCAGTATCTTCCCTGCTGATGCAGGAACCTGAGGATAATGTCTGATCCCAGTCCTGGGGAGGCTTCTCTGCTCTTTCTGGGGTTGAGGGAAATTTTCTTTACAAGTTAAAATAAATAAATTTTTATAAAGTTAAAAATCTAATTACTCTTTTTCTATGCTGAAGAACTGTGAAGTAATACATAGGCCCATGTAGGTTGTCTGTAACCATTCTTAATATGCACAACAATTATGTTGTTATGGCTGTAAATAGAAATACTTAGAAATAACAGAAAACTTTGGCCAAACCATTCATCAGAAGAATTGCTAAAGATTATAAAATAATTGTAAACAAAAATTTAGTGAATTAATTAGTTTACGATTAAAGGGACTATACTGATAAATATGTTACTCTTCATTATACTTCTACAGAAAACAGTATTCATTTATTGTGTTATGATAACTAGGTTTAAATATAATTTAATAATTTACCAATTTTAGCCACAAGCCTGTAAAAACTTGCATCTGCATTTAAACGAATGTGTTGTTAATCTGTTAATCCCAGAAAGTCTGGAAAACAAATAAAAATTGAGGTATTATCAAAATAGCTAAATGCAAAGGGATATATTTATACAGGTCCTTTTCTTGTCTGTGCTTCATAAATTAAAACTCTAACTGTAGTGAATGAAGCAAGAGTGTGAGCTAGGAGCTTTTTCTTCAAGTGATAATCAATAATGTAATGGTAAAACATTGTGTTCTAATGGTAATCAATTAGATGGTATAAGAATGCTGAATTTTAAATGCCCATTCTTTTGAGACTGTTTCAGTTAATGAAAAATAATAAATTAGTACAGGGATTAGATGAACACAAACAAAATTTAATCTGTTTGCTTCATAATGACAAGAGGAAGTATCAGACAGCTGTAGGATCCTTGGTCCTATCCCATTATGCCCATTTCTAGAAAATTAATGGCTATTTTTTACTAGTATACTAGGACATATTTCCTAGGATTGTAGGACTTCATATCTGAAAGGAAAAAAGAGTTATAAAACTAATTTAAATTCTGAATTTGTTTTGGTTTTTTTTTAAGATAAATTTTCTAGTTTCCTCTACCTATTGCAAAGAATCAAAAATTAAATATATATGAGTCTTTGAAAAAAGCAATTTTCTCTATTATTCAGAAGCTTTCTGTGTTCTCTGAATTAGTGCATTCATACATCAAAAATAGTTTTTTTCCAAAAGTTACAATACTATCTTTTCTTATTTCTCAGCTGGTGGACATCACTGCCTCCTAAATACATATTAAATCAAGTGAGATTAGAGCATTGCAGGTAAATTTAAAAAAAAAAAAAAGAAAAAAAAGTGAAGGCTGGCATAAAACATTGTGATTTTAGTATTTATTATATTCAGAAACACCTGAAATTCAATAGAGCAAATTCAATAATATGGTAAATAATTCTTTATTTGCATGGCAAATTTTACAGTTCATTGAACTTTAGTGCTGGAAATTATAGGTTTATAGATTAGCATGTCAGCAAAGCATGTGTTAATATAGTTCAAATGTCAACAGATGCTCTCAAAAGAGGTATTTTCAGTTCATTTCCCCTCTCTTACTGACATATTGATGCATAAACTCAGGAATTAACAGAATTGATGACTCCAAGGCTCAAAAATGGGAACAAAATGACTACAGAAAGCTTTGTGGAGTGGCCATTTTTGGCAACACAGAGACAATCACTGAAATCCAATTCCAAGTGTTGTTGGAAAGAATTTATCCACATGGAAAGGAGTTGTCCATGTCTAATTAAAATAGGAAGTAGAATCCCTCAACGTGAGGCCTGTGTCACTCTGCCCTTTCCTTGAAACAGTGAATTGTCTCCTGTTCTGGAGGAGAAACAGTTGGCAGCGTTGCCTTCTATCACCCTGTAGGCCTTTTCTTTGATACTTGTGTATATATGTGTGTGGAAGATGGTATTTTTAAAAAGTTTTTCTTTTCCAATCTAAAATTCTTACTAGAATGATTGAATATGTTTGTGTGTGTGCTCTCTTGTATGTGAGAGAGTGTGTGGTGGGGAAAATGGTGATAAAACACAAAGGAATTTTTACGGAAACTTTAAAATACATATGTCTTATATTTTTGCCTTGCAAACCCAAAAGCCAGTCTATAAAGTTTCTCTGGGACAGGAGGGAACACGACAGAACCTATTTTAAGCTCAGTGTACCCCAGGTAGTCCACCAAAATGTGTTCTTGAACACTTTGGTGCATCAAGCAGCTTGTTCTGTTGGAAGGTACAGGTGTTTTTTTACCTGAGCTTAACAGGAGCAGATTCTAAGTGCTGCAGATAGTTTAAGGTCTATGCAGAGATTGATAGTGATTTTTCTATTAAGTGTTATCTAGACAAAGACTTTACTTTTCCAACTTCATTTTCAAAGAATACTGTCTATTTTTATGTGCTCTTACCTATGGCCACACATTAGTAACTCTCCCATTGACGCCTTCATTTTTCCCTGGCCTGATTTCCTATCTGTCTGAAACTTGCCATGATATGAAAAAGCCTCTAACCTCACTCTTTCTAATTTTGACTGGGGGAGAGGCAGTGAGGGGTGGATGGGAATGGGGGACAGGAGCAGGCCATTGCATCTGCTGGGGAGGGAACTTGTTGGAAGAGAGAGCAGGACTATTTTACTTCAAAATACTGGAAAATTTAAAAAAAAAACCCTAAAATAGCATGTTACCAGTAGGTCTACTAATCAGTAATACAAGGTTAAGGAATTTCCTACATGCTTGGCTGATTTAACAACTGCATCTGAAGTGAGTCCAGCTGCAACTTAAATTTCTGCATCTCTACAGAGTAACAACTAACTTTATATTGCCTTTAGAGCTGGGGTTTTTCTTGGTCACAGCAGACTTAGTATTAGTATGTCCTGTGTGTATTTGAGACTGTTCTCTAAACTTTGTGAATATTTTATCCTGCCTCTATACAGTGGAGCAAAAAAAGGATTTGTATAGAAACATTCAAATGCAATTCAATAGCTAAAGGAACTCGAACGGAACTGCCAGAGGGATTAATTTTTCTGTCAATCAATGAAATTCTAGTGGGTTATTAGGGATTTTTCATCAAAATTATTTTATCTTCATACTGTGATTATTGTACTTACCTTTAATGGAGTGAGAGACTGACGACCTAAAAAATACTATATATTACATGATCTCTGTGAAAAGTATGAAAATTTAGATGATATCTTTATTTCTGTTAGCTCTTAAGGCTTTGGTGAACAGCATTGATAAGATGCATATGTTAAACTACTACCCCACATTAATTTTATTTGGTTGTAAAATTGCTTTTTATTTATTTCTGTATTGTGGGAATACAGACAGGAAGGCTTCACATAACTTTTAAGTGTCTCTCTGTTGCTCTGAAAAACATGGGGAAGTATTCATTTTATTCATTTCCCTCAAAGTGGAGGACAAACAACAGTATTGGAAATATGTACTCTGAGGAGGATCTAATTAAGCTTTTACTTGTGAGCCAAATAAATGGAAATGTATCAAGACTTAAAATAATTTACTGATAAAAAAAAAAAAAAAAGGCTTTTGGAAGTGCTGTTACACAGCCAAATTAACATGTTTGTTTTTACTTTGTAACTGTAGTACATTTACTCCTAAAATGCAAGGCAGACGGATGGGGACTTCAGGGAGAATCACTAAGAGCACAAGCGTGAGCGGAGAGATGTATAAGCTGGAGCACATTGACGGGAGCCAGTCGGACACGGCTGTCGGCATGGTTGGAACAGGTGGGAAGAAAAGGCGTTCCAGCTTTAGTGCCAAAGTGGTTGCCATAGTGTCTCGAAGGAGCAGAAGCACATCTCAACTTAGTCAAACAGGTGAGTGAGACACACACTCTTGGGAAACAGGACTCTCACCAAACATGGTTTACCATAATTTCATCTGTGGCATCTGTGTTATATGTATATGCATATAGACTGCTTGAGAGAGAAGATTTTCCAGCTGCAAATAAATTTCTGAAATATTAATTTTCTTTGATTATTAAACATCTGCAAGAAACAATATGCAAATGTCTTTTAGAATATGTGCTGTAGTTACTTTCTGTCCTGATCAGTGAAAACTGTTGTCTCTTAGAAGCCTTGTTTGCAGTTAGGCCAGGAAATGGAATGAGACGTGTCAGTATCAGCAGTGGATAACCATTTGCCAAGACCTGCTTTTTATGTGTAGGAAATTTCTTTTACAAGAAGAGTTGAGTATGAATGTGGGAACTGAAATATGAGTAAATGAATGGCAGTTATGCAACTCGGATCACAATGTTGTACCTGTAGTGGAATAAAATAAGTTTTTTTAAATTACTTCTGTTTTTTAAGTTGAGAGTTAATCTAATACTTTATTTTTTTGTAAGTAATACTGGCAAGTTTGGGTCAGTGATTTCAGATAAATTAGATGACAACATGATGCTTCATTAGGAGCATAAGCCTCCAACTCTTTATTGTGACTCCAGAAATCTTAAAAGCTTCATATCAGCATACCCTCCAGGAACAAATCCCATACAGAAAGATAAAAAAAGGGAAGACGAATCTTTTAAAGTCCTTGTCCTGCTCCTGAACCCCAGTGAAGGCTTTTGCCTTTGTCTTCAGTGGGAGCAGGACCTGACCCTAAGGGTCCTTTCTTACTAAGAGAAGGAAAACAAAGAGGAAAAGCTTCAGCCTAGCATGCAATGCACTCATATTTCAGCATTCCTCTCACATAGTCAGAATATCTAAACTAAGGTAAGTAACAATATTGTTTATTTATATCATCAAATACTTCCCCCCTTTCCCCTGATTTTCTTTAATTGCCAGATGGGCAGTAGAATTGATCCTTTCACGGTCAAGGCTTGGTCAGCTATAACAAAAAGATTGTTATACTTTTCTACATTACTCATGAATTTTAAGCCAGAAAATCATGCAGTTGAACCAAATGCTAAATGAAACTGATGGATTTGAAGCCCAGAACTGTAATTAATATTGTGTTTTCAAGAATGCACTGTGACTAAGTATAAAACTGGAATATAAATAGTTGTGCACAGTAAGATGCTGGTTTAGATGTATCAGAATCAATGGTGTGCTCTGTAAGTAATAAAAAGTGGTATTGTCATGTAGAAAGGATTTCTACACTGAATATTTTAGTCCACTTAAAATCTGAGCTGTGACTCCCAAGCACTTCTCAGTATAATCTATTTAAAGCTCGTATTTCCCTAATCTTCATAGAAAGGTACTATAGTTTACCAAGTTTTGCTTGGTGTAAATTTCAAAACAATAGGAATTTTTCAAGGAATGGAACTTCTAAAGTTTTAATGTAACTCAAAGAGCAAATCAGACATTAAAAAAATTATTATGTATTATTCATGATTGTAAAACAGTTCAGAATCATCTTTACCTTGTCTTGTTGTGACTCAGGCTAACAGTATTATCTATGGTATAATCAAAGCAAATAATAATGTGTCATTTTTTGTCAGTCACTACTTTTGAATTTTGTCAAAATCAGTAAATTAAATTAATGCATTTTTTAGAACAATACATGCATCAGACTTCACAGAGTTGCCAAATGACATTTTTGGAGGCTAAGTACTCATGTCCTAAATCAGGGACCCACTTCCCTTCTTCCCTATATTATACAAGATGAGAGGAAAAACCTAAAAGTGTCTATTTCATTTTAAAGTGTTGTGCAACTTACTAATGTCTTCACTAATGATAATTATAGAAAATTTCTGCTATGACAATATAATATATAATGGGTACTTTTTAAAAATTTATTATATGAGAATTGTTTCTTATAGTCAAGGTCTGAAGTTTTGGCACTGATGTGAAAATTTATGGGCCTCCAAAAGTGGTACCAAGTAGGAGCTTCTGGGACAGATCTTCAGGAACTGGAGGTGTGCTGTTGATGCAGTATATGTATTTGAAAGGAAGTATAAAAGTATAGAAATAAATGTGTAGCTTCCATAGGTTGTTCAGGTTTAATTCCTATGACTTGCATGATTATAAGTAAGGGAAGCATGACATGGTTATTTGTTTTTGAAAACTCAGAATAGAAGATCAGAAGTAAAAAGGCAGATTTTTTTTTAAAGCATAGGTTCTATATTCTTATGGATTGAGTAGATCTGAAATTCTAGTTTACTGCTGTCTTCAAAGTCACTAAAGTTTATTACTACCTCACTATTTTCACTTGAAGAAATGGTCAAAAAAGGCTGAATTCAACTTTTTGTAGATATCTTTTTTTGTAGATAATTCTTCCTTGTTACATACTCCATGGGCTTGATGTTATATAAAAATGGAAGTGGTATGTATGGAACTGCTGCAAGGTAGCTATTATTTATAAGACTTGATTTTCTATTCAACTAAAAAAGGCATTATTGTACATGAACATGAGGAGTTTGTGTACTGTGCATACATGTTCGTGTCTATACATACACATATGGATTTCTTTGTACATATGGAGCAGATCCACTTGCATGTTGAAGTTAGAAGAACCAGTAATCATTATTTTACACACCCAGCTCAGTGTTGTTGGAAAATATTTATTCGGAATATGTGCCTTATAGATGATCAGTGAAATAATTGGTTTCTATTTTTATGTAAATCTGCAATGAAATTATGTATTTTTGCTGCACCTTTCTTTTATGTCTAAGATTACATAATACTTGTAGTAACTGTTCTGTGAAATCCCTACTTACTGTTTATTTGTTCATTGTGCCCACAAATCAGATCGATTAGATAGTTCACCAGAAAAAGCTTTTCACCCTCTGACAATATTCCTAATGAAAATCCAGCTCTTCTTATGTTATCACAGTTAAAAAGAAGAAAAGAAAGAGAAAAAAATAAGCAAAACTCCCAAAATGACAACAGAAAATTGAAAATAGCTCCAGGCATATATAACCATTTTAGCTATAATTCAACTTTTCTAGATTTCTTTGCCAGCCTTATTTTGATAAATAAATATATACATATATACAGAATAAATATGTAACTTCCTATTTTCTGAATACAGCGACTAAACTTTAAATCAAAGGAAAATTATAGGAAGCTAGATTAGGATAAGAAGTCATCATCAGTTGTCTTGATTTTGTGTTACAATACTATTCTCTTCTACAGAAAATCTAATCTTGTAGTTTACATATCAATGAGGCCAGTATTGACCATAGTACATTTTGATTTGGGGCTGTAGGTTTGTTTTGAATGAGATAAAAACTTCTGTAACAGAAGGGAAGAATTTTATCACAGAATTTGTACCATATATAGAGGCATAATAATGCATTTCAAAGTGGATAGAGGCAATGGGGTGGGGGGAGTATCATCAGTAAAATGAGTTCTGGAGAGAAGGAAAACCTTAACGTCAGCTAAAAATTATTCCCATCCCTGGATCCCTCTCAGTTCTTCTGGTACTTGCAGATATGTGCCTTAAGAAAGCAAAATAATTCCTCACTTTTGCTTTCTACCTCCTGGTCAGCAGATAGTGCTTCAGAAAAATCATGTATTTGTAGAAGTACACTTTTCTTCTCCTTAAGTGCCAACAGTGGCTTGCAACTATTTTGACACAGATGAGAGTGGAAGAGATGCAGAGAAGTAGAGATAAGGAGCTTAGAAGAATGGGCAGTATTTCTAGTTTGACATTACACTGATACCAGGTCAATTTTCTAAATGAACACACCTTGCCATGTTTATGGTGTGAATCACAGTGAGATTTTCCTATGTGAGAACCAAAGTTATTTGCTTTCCATCTTCTGCTGGTGAAGTTCAACATCAACATGAAGCCACAGGCATTAATGCTTGTATTAATGCAGATTACATACCATGAAGCAGAGCTGAAATCAAGTGTTGTCACAAGGTGAAAACAGAATGAAGAAAAAAATCTTTTCATTTACATGTGTCTCTGAAGTGGATACTTGGAGGGAATCTTGAAGTGTTTCTCTGCTTTCCTCAGGAAGTAACTTGAAACCTGAGCAAAACCACTATCTTAGAACATATTTCTCTATGTAAAAACTAGAATCTCCTGCTAAAGTATATTTTCTGACATTTTCTGTAATTTTCCCTATTAAGAAGTGGCTTTCTCTGTGTTCTTTTGAATTAAACTCCAAATTCCCAATTTCAGATAAGATTGTATCACCTAAGTGAGGAAATTGTCACTGAGCAGTAAAGTTCTGATAGTCCTGCATCCCACAGTATATCTATGCTCTTTTTTTAGCTCACTGCAGCTTAAAGAGCTCTTCTTCTTCCAGCTGATTGCCCCACATTTCACCTTCCAAGACTGGTCTCAAGGTGTTTTTCTCTCATGGTTGGATGACTGAAGTTAAGGTAAAGATTTAGAAAATAAAATCTTGTCCATTACTCTGTTGATGGAGAATATGATGATTCACTGGAGCTACTTAGTGACTAATAACAAGCAGACAGTGTTGTGCAAAAAAAACCCTTGCTTGGGAAACATGGACATTTAAGCAAAGCAATGCTTAAATTGAGCCTTTCAGGTTCAGAGCTACCTCATTTCAGAGTAGACACTGCCATTAAAAAAAACAAACAAACAACAACAACAAAAAAAAAAAAAACACACACAAAAAAAAACCCCCAAACCCAAACAACCTAAACAAAACCAAAACCAAACACAAACAAGCCAACAAAACAAACAATCAAACCCCAAAACCACACATTCCCCTAACTCCCCCAATCTGTTAATCTGTTCTTAATTTTCTCAGTCTTTTTTTGTTTGGAAATGCTGGTTGAATTATTTTTCTCTCCATCCTTGTAGTAATTTTGTGGTAAAATGAGAGATTTCTTAGGTCTAGCGAGTATGGATAGAAAAAGCAGATAAAAAATGAGAAATAAAATATGCTGGGCAAGGC